ATGGAACGGATCAAATACAAAGGGCGACATGTCGCGGTCTGGCCCGTGCACAGCCGCGCACGCACATACATTCCTTGGTCAGGCACCGCCCTCGGCAACCTGGGCAAACCTGAAACGCTCCACAGATTTCAACGTGGACGAAAAGGGAATGAGGTTTCGGCGATGCAGAAGCTGGCACATGGCAAAGCGAGACAGGCGTCTATCACCTCACAACTCGAAACCTTCGCTTGACACATCTGACATGTTTTGGCTTCAGTAAATTGAACTCACCGAACCTGATTTTTTCACTCCACCACTTGTGAGCCTCGGCTCGGACGGCAATGGGCACTCCGCGGTCCAAGACGACCCCCTTTCGGCGGCAGTTCCTAGATGACGGCCCTGAAGTTCAGGACGTACGCCACGACGTGTGTCGCGCATCCTGAGACAATGCGCGGGCCCTCGGAATGCTCGCTCCTCCAGACGGGAAGGTGGCCGCGCTCTCGCGTCGCAGAAGACTTTAGTCAAAGCCCACTGGCCTCGCTTCTGGATCTGCTGCAGCGATCGCACGCTCTCCATGATCCGGCACGATGCCGACCTTGATCAGCTTCGACGTTCGCGTGATGGACCCCAACGTGCCAAATAGACGAACCTCCAGCGCGGCTGGTCCGGAGGACGGCAACAGGGCCCCTGGCCAACTCGTTCCTGACCGCGGGGCACGGGGCGTCCCAAGGCAGGCTGTCCTCTAACAAGGTAGTGCATTTGGCCGACGTCCATCGGCCCTGAACTGCGACGTGCCGAGCGGCCATCGTCAGCACCCTATGCGGCATCTCAGGAACATCGACTACGTAATTAGCGCCCCGCAGTTGCGGATAAGAGTGAGGAGGCGGCGGGGACGTCTGCACTCTGTGAGGCTCTGAAGAAGTACGAGCCCGCTGCAATGGCCGAATTTTTCGTCAAAGTAATGTGGATGTGTCATGGATGGGTCGCGGGTGGGTCGCGGGTGGGTCGCGGGTGGGTCGCAAACCGGGTCGCGGGCGGGTCACGGGTGGGTCGCGGGTTGTTCGCGAGTGGGTCGCGGGTGGATCGCGGGCGGGTCGCGGGTGGGTCGCGGGCGGGTCGTGGGTGGGTGGGTCGCGGGCGGGTGGCGGGCGGGTCGCGGACGGATCGCGGGCCGCGTCTTGGATGGAACGACGACAACAAACAACAAACAACAAACAACAGCAATTGCAACAGCAACAACAACAACAACAACAACAATCATTTTACCCGAACGCTCAGTGGTCTCCCCAGTGCCAGGGTTTTCTTGCGACACCAGCCAATACCCCCACTTCGTGGGGGGGCCGTTCAAGCTCTACCAAATATCCAAACGACTCTTCGTGACCACCCACACCCAGCTTCCCGCCCTATGACGTTGGGACACTTCACTTCGTGGCGTGCGGACGACCCTGGCTACTACACTGGCGTGGGGTACACACCCACAGAGGTTGATCACATCTGTTACATATGATGTGGTACACGGTACACGTGAGATGGTACGCAGTGCCAAGATAGTTGGTCACATTTTTGGGGCAAATTCGTGGGGATGCGATTACAGAAGTACATGTGTTACACTGATGTTATACAGTCCCAAGGATGACGCATGCATTGCTCATAGACTCATGGCGCTATGATCCTAACTCTCAGTGCCCAACGCGCGCGTGCACAGCCAGACGGAGGGAGAGAAACACATGTATACAAGGTTCGTGACATACGCACGGTCCACCATGTTGTAAACGATCGCATGCACGGTAAGTTCTGAAATTATACGTATGTACAAGCAGACATGCGAGGGAGAAAGGGAGATGGCCATCGACAGTTCCAATACGGCCATCTTGCGCGCCTGTTGGGGCCATCTTGGGTTTTAAAGATTCATCAAGAGACCGCGAATGGATTTCGAGATTTTTCGGATGAGAAAGTAGTGCGTTTTCATATGTTTTCTGAACATCGCATCTTGAAATTATTGAAAACCCATTGTGTTTGGCAGGATTTCGACATGCGCGCGCGGCGGCCGCGCGCATGTGCACTTCGTCTCATTTTTTGCAAGGGATGGTGGCCCTCGCAGGCGCGCAACCGTTGTTGGAGAAGTTCAAAGCACCTGAAGAAGTAGCACGCAAAGACCCTTTTGACAGAAATGTTTAAAAAGTGGTGTGTTTCCTATGAATCCGCAAGAGCGCGCGGAAGGACATTTTGACAATTTTTTCTTAAAAAACCATTGGGTTTTTGATGTTTTTATGTTAAAATCGCTACGAAACCTAAGGTTTTGGAAGGATTTCGTCTTGCGCGCACGAATGTCCACTTTACCTTATTTTTTGCAAGGGATTCTTGCAATTTGATCAAGTAAAAACAAGAATTTCATTTTCTATTGTTTTTTGCAAGGGAAAACGAGCGTCAACAAAAAACCGGATCCGGAGCTCATCCACTTTTCTGAAGCTTTCGCGAAAAAATGATGAAAATGTAGCTGCGGCCTAGGCGCGGCGCAGAGGTCGCGCACCAGGGGTCCCAACAATAATAATTCTTTAGAAGGAATAATGTTCAACAACAACAACAACAGCAGCAACAATCAGTTCAAGACTGTCGCTCTACGCGCTCGCGTGCCACTCAACCCGTATATCCCAAACCCTCGGTACCCGCCCTCTTCGTCTTCGATCGTAACCCCCTCTGGGGGGCATATTTTCCTCACCTGCCGCGTGTATGTGATGCTGCCCTGAAACAAGGGAACGGAGGACGGATGGAAGGGGGAGGGAGAAGGATGGAGCACGGGATTGGCAGGAGGGGGCCAGGAGCAGAAAACACGTGGCAGAACCAGAAGGGCCCATCGGGTGGGTAGAACCTAACGGGCGGGTCGGGAACGCGGGCCCATGCGGCCAGGTGGAGCAGGCGGGTTGATGAAGCGTGAATACTGCACGAATCGCGAGGAATGCTCGAGCGACGGCGCGACTCCCAAGTAAATCATGAGAAAGGCCAAAGCGAGAGCGCGATTCCTGAGTGTCGACGGCGCGGCGTCTCAATAAACTGCGAGACGGCCCCACGCGTGAGCGCGATTCCTGCATAACTTGCGAGGAAATTGCGCGCGAGAGCGCGACTTGGAAATAAACGGCGAGGAAAGTATCCACAAGGAGCAATTGTTGTTGTAACTCGGCGGCCAGGGGCCCGATCTGAAGGCCCCTCGCCCTTGTACTGCGCCGATCCGAAATGTTCCCCAATTTCGCCGCCGTGTTCGCCGGGGCCGTCTGGGATGGCGCGCGCTGGATAAGACTCGCGGGGCCCGAGGGCGGATGGGGGCGACGTCGCGAGGACAGAGTCGGCGCGCCGATTGGCAGCCCAGCGAGGGGCCCAGTACAATGCAAGGGCAGAGCCTAAACCCCCGCCCGGGGTCGAGGGATCGGGTTCCCCTTCTGGATTCAAAATTTTTTAATCCCAGACGGTGTACTGACCCGAAAATGAGCAAACGGCATAGGACTTCCTCGAAAAAAAGCTTTCGGGTTTGGTCATGCGATGACCCGAAAAGGTCATCGACCTATCTGAAAGAGGCCAAATCAATAGGACGTGTGCCAACCAAAAAATCCGGGCCCACTTCAAACGACCCGAAAATGTGCGAACGGCCTAGGACTTTTCGAAGAAGAAGCAGCAGCAAATATGCAAACAAAAAAAGAAGAAAATAAATAAGAAAAGAAAGAAACAAAGAAAGGAACAACAAAATATTGTTGTAAAAGAGAATACATTATATATAAAAATAAATAAAAAAATATTTATATAAATTATATATATATATAAGAAAAAGAAGGGGAAAAAAAAACAAACAAACAAACAAACCAATATATATATATATATATATATTAATAATAATAATATATGCACATACACACACACATCAATCTCGAGGTCTTCGGGTCCGCCCCGAAGAAGCCGAACATGGGCAAACCGCCTAGAACATCCTATGGCAAACGGTTTTTCGGTGG